TTGTCTAGTCGGACATGAGGCGATAAAATTTAAAATTCAGTCATTTATAATACAATTGTACGGTACTTTGCCAAGTCCACGTGAAACTCGTAATTAATGGACGTCTAATCTTGAATAACTCTGCGAAAACAAGCGTATGAAAATGATAAATTGTTGTCTAGTCGGACACGGATAAGCCAAAGCCAAAGATAGATATTCCTGCCCTAGCTGGCGCGAAGAAGGACGATAAAAGGATAAGGTAATAACTTTGTACCTGTCTTTGGTAACAATTAGACGAGAGGGGCGTTCAATTGAAATATCTGATTTTCCTGTAGTCGTGAGACGGCGATTCAAGCGATCGAGGCGAAACTCAAGTTGATGAAAGAATCGCAAGAGGAGTTCGAGTTGAACAAACCGCTGGAAGGGTCGCCGATTGTGCATCTCTATCAAAAAGCGGAGAATCAAAAACCGTCCACCTCTTCCACGCGTCATCATAGCCGTGGGAGCCTCTACCATCATAACAAGCCGTACAGTCGTCACAAGCCGCGGAGATAATTCTCGATATATGTATTTTTTTTATTTCATTTTTATCGCTTAATTTATCACTCATTATCCCATTTGTTTTGTGATTAATATTTATATTGTTTTTAACGTCTGCGTTTGATACCGCTTATTAAGAAGATATTGTGTTCTCGCGTACAAGAGTCTCTCGTATGTACTATTCGCGTTGCGAAACGCCCACGCGTTCGCGAGCGATTCGACCCTCGATAGCGGGCAGGCAAACGCGTCGATTCCGACAGGCAAGGAGGTAAATGTGAAACATATTAGAGCTATGAATACTTAAAATCGTCCGCGGTATATAACGCCCTCGATATATGTATACGCCAACGTACGTGTATTTTCACAACGTATGGACATCTTTTTTTACATGACGTGCTTTGGGACAAAACAGTGTGCTCGAGTTACTTCCATCGTTCGTACTTTTGGATATGACGAAAGACGTGCGTCCGCGCACGCGAGCGTATAACGCGTACATTATAAAAATACAATAACGCAAGTGTAACGTGAATTCGTAACGGGTTCGTCTACTACTCTTTATTCCTTCCTCTCTCAAACCAATACTTCCCGCGCATGTGATCCGGCAGGGGCACTATACCGGGGCACGGCACTTGGCCATGGACGTGGCATATACAGTTCCTGTCGCAACCCACCCCGAAATTCGCCGGATTGGCCTTTTTCTCCCGAGCCGTCGCCTCCTCGATCAACGTTTCCCTCGTCTTTCCCACTACTCTCAAGAGATGCTCAAGTATCTCGTCCTTGGACTTGCTGTCTAGATCTATCAGCATCGTCTTGCCGTCCTCTGCAAAATACAGGTCTGCGTTGTACAGTTTTTCGGACAATCGAGAGCAGACTTTTCGAAGTATCTGCTACAAATCTCGTCAGCACAATGCCAGCAGAAAAATAAAAACAGTCTAATAGACGGATTACAGAAAGCAAGTAAAATCTGCCGTTTCGCAACTACCCGAGTGACTACAAAGTGGCAGCTACCCTGGCTTGGTTCTTGCCATTAATTGCAATTCGTTTAAATGGTTGCGAACTTCGCTTCTACTGGCAACTTGCTGTCAGATTACGTCGGTGGACTCCGTTGACAGAACACAACGCCGTAATATCGCTGGACTCCACCGTTCTGGTCCCGCATCGAATAAATCTCGCCGGGAGGCAAAATCAAGTCCAGGGAGTTACCGTAGTAGCACGTCATGAACGGCGACGGGGTTATGTTCTTAAAGGCGACTATTTGCACATCCGGATTCTTGTACTGCAGCTGCGGCAGATGCCAAAACACGAAGTCTCTGCGAGAGAAGGGAGACACGTTAAAGACAAGAGCGTAGAAAAGCGGACGATCGGCGGCGTTGAGCCGCGCTACCTAACCTCGTCCCTTTATGATGTTCGCCGTGCGTGTTGTAATTGATGGACAGTATCTGTATCTTGTCCTTCAGGACCAGTTTGCCGGACATCAGGTACTTCACCGTTCGCCGCACGGGCTCCTTGCCTATCATAAACGGCATCCTGCGCGATTTCGTCCGCTCCTCGTTCACCGCACTTGTCCCGGTTGTTCGTCGTTCTAGCTCGCGCGTATCGATATTCGATTAATTCGATACGGCGACCTAACCTCCTTCTCGCGTACCGGCTCGGCTAACCTATTTATCAGCTTGTTACAGGACGTACAGGGAAGCTGGTGTAATTAGATACATTGCGAACGCGTAGTGTCTCGATAGCCAGGTACAAGCAATTTCTTCTCGTAGTTCGGTTATTATTTCTGGACGATGAGCATATGCTTCTCTGTACACTCGGTAGTTTCGACACTTGGAATTTAATTACAGCTGAGCGTGCAAGCGTACGACCTGTCTCCTTTCCAGAAATATTGCCAAAAGGAACTGAATCTAATCGAGAAGACACGTTGAATAACCTCATCAAAGCTTACCGGCACTCGCAAGCACGAGCGCGCGCACGTGCTCTCCGAGCCTCTCTCCCTCTCTCCTTTCCCTCGCGACCACCGTGTCAGCTGTGTCGCCTGGACTTCCGCGTCTCACCTGACGGTAAGTCCCGCGGGTCTGTCGCTACCCTTTTCCGCCCCCTCGTCGAAATCTCGGTCAGAGGAATGTATTTACATAGAGGAAACTATTACATCGTGGAGGGAACTGCGCGTTCCGCCTCGCGTACGATGTCACGTCGTGGCTCACCTGCGCGTCTGACGCAACCGAGGCCATATGGCGAGTCACGCCGCGGAGCACCGTAAGACCCGGTTTCACCAACGTTGTTTAACTTCAAGCCTGGCTTAACTCGTTCTTTGCCTCTTTTCGACTGTTACTTTGGAAAGAGACAAACGTGAACTAAACCAAGTTTAAAAGTAAACGACGTTTGGTGAAACCGGGCCTGAATGCAGATCAGGTTTGATCTCAGTCTCTACCAATGCAGATTAACTTTAATCTCAGCTTAAATTACTTCTTGTCTTTTTCCAACTCGTAAAATTGGAAAAAGATTACAGAGTAAGTTGAACCGAAATTAAAATTAAACTGCGTTGGTAGAAACGGGTATAAGACTGTTTTGTTGTTGGTCGTAGACATGAGACAAGGCAGAGAAAAGCTCAAGTCGTACACGTACGACTTAAGCCTTTCTCCGCCTTGCCTCTTGTGTACGACTCGTAAGACAGACTTTTACGGATCGTTTTCTGCCGTCAGCCTAACTTTACGGAATTTGCAGAGCCCGAGGATACCACGATGGAGAGCAGCATGAACGCGAAGCAGATACGCCAAGCCTACATAGACTTCTTCAAGAGCAAGGGTCACGAATACGTGCACTCGAGCTCGACGATACCCCACGATGACCCGACCTTGCTCTTCACGAACGCCGGGATGAATCAGGTACGTTCCGTTCGTTTTCACGCCGAATTCGTCGCTCGACTTTTCCTCACGTCGCAAATACGCTTCAGTTCAAGCCGATTTTCCTGGGGACGGCCGACCCGAACAGCGATATGGCGAGATGGGTGCGCGTTGTAAACAGCCAGAAGTGCATCCGGGCCGGCGGCAAGCACAACGATCTGGACGACGTTGGCAAAGATGTCTATCATCACACGTTCTTCGAGATGATGGGCAACTGGTCCTTCGGCGACTACTTCAAGGTAACGTCGACGGATCGGCTGTTTGTTGACGGAAGCGATGGCCATCTCTGAAATTTCTCTTCTACTTTCTCTTCAGAAAGAGATATGCACCTGGGCCTGGGAATTTTTGACGGATGTACTGAAGCTACCAGCTGACAGGCTGTACGTGACATACTTTGGCGGGGATGAGAAGTGTGGATTGGCGCCGGACGACGAGTGCAAGAATCTGTGGCTTTCTCTCGGGTAAATACGATTTCTTAATCGCCTTGGAATATAATTATTGCGAGCACTTGTTCACATCTTTTCGTTATTTTTCACTTGGCGTTACATGTAATTGCATTCCCTCAATTCCGCCGTGCCTCTTTATTAATGTATCTCAACCGTAACGTTTATTTCCTGTTTCAAGATTTTTAAGTTGTGAAATATAAATGTACAGAGTACCCGCCTCGCACGTTCTGCCGGGCAACATGAAGGACAACTTTTGGGAAATGGGCGAGACCGGTCCGTGCGGGCCGTGCAGTGAATTGCATTACGATCGTATTGGTGGCAGAGAGGCAGCTCACCTCGTAAACATGGACGATCCCGATGTGCTGGAAATCTGGAATCTGGTGTTCATTCAGTACAACAGGTATTCATAATTTTTTTAACTGTAGGAGACACAAGTCTGGCGTATTAATTGCATTAATATTCCAGGGAGTCAGACGGCAGTCTTAAATCATTACCGAAAAAGCATATAGACTGCGGCTTGGGTTTAGAACGACTGGTGTCGGTGATTCAAAATAAACGCGCTAATTATGACACCGATCTGTTCGTGCCTTTGTTCGCCGCGATCGAGAAAGGTACAGGCGCCCCGCCCTATCAAGGTAAAATAGGGGCTGACGATGTCAACGGAATCGACATGGCGTATAGAGTTCTGGCTGATCACGCTCGAACTATCACAATTGCCCTGGCGGATGGAGGAATGCCTGACAACACTGGCAGAGGGTGAGCAATAGAGGGAAGTCCCTTATTACGATTGCCCTTGGAGTGAAATCTGTTTGGTGGAAAATCGATTGGTAGATTGTGTAATCGTTGCGAAAAAAGATTTGTGATTGAACTTGGACATTGGAAACCTGCTACGTATTAGAATCCTATCTCATAATGGAGAACTTTCCTTTAGAACTTAATTTTGCAAGTTAATTAGTCATTCATTGCTGACAAATTATGGATTGATTTACTCATCTAAATATGATTGTGCTTTTGCCTTTTTAGATACGTGCTAAGAAGAATTTTACGGCGCGCCGTGCGCTACGCAACTGAGAAATTAAACGCTAAGCAAGGCTTCTTCGGATCTCTCGTGAACGTAGTGGTGGATCTTCTCGGTAAATATCTTCCGTAATAAAGAAAGCCGTTTTATCTTTTTTACTGCTTGCACTTTGTCTAAAATAAGTTTGCCGTTGCAGGTGAAGTTTTTCCGGAGGTAAAGAAAGATCCACAAAGTATCATCGAGGTCATCAACGAGGAAGAGGCTCAATTTTTGAAAACTCTATCGCGGGGTCGTAACTTGCTAAACAGAACGGTAGCAAAGCTGGAATCGACCGATACTGTGCCAGGCGATGTCGCATGGCGCTTGTACGACACTTACGGCTTCCCGATCGATCTCACTCAGCTAATGACTGAGGAGAAAGGATTGAAAATTGATATGGCAGGCTACGAAGAATCTAAGAAGCAAGCACAGGTATCGCTCTTTGCTGTGCAATTAATCTGTTAATTTAGTGCCACAAAGACCTTTCTGACATATTGATATTCGTTCTTTTCTCAATTGTACAGTTAATTTCTCAAAACAAAGCCGGCGGTGTAGACGACCAAATTAATTTGGATGTCCATGCCATTACCGAACTGCAAAAGCAAGGTGTTAAACCTACAGACGACTCGCCCAAATATAATTACAAAGTAACAAACTCCGTTAAATATGAAGAATATGAATTTGCACCGTGTATTGGTACTGTAATCGCACTGAGACGCGCCAAGACATTCGTCGACAAAGTATCTTCCGGCGAAGAAGTTGGAATCTTATTGGACAAGACAAACTTTTACGCGGAGCAAGGGGGACAGATATACGATGAAGGATTTTTAGTGAAAGTCGACGATGAGGTATAGAAAATTAACTTTACAGAACTGTTCTCTTCACTTTTTAAGTCTGTATCAGACTACGGATTAAGATTGAGATTAGATTGAAATTTGACCAATCAGAGTAAAGTTTACTAATCTAAAGTTTAGTGATTTATAATAATCAAGCTTGATTATTTATTACTGGCAATTTAAAGATATTGGACAAGCTTTATCGATTCCGGTATAATTGAACAGAATGAAAACCAAGATTGTTAATAACGTACTCCTTTAAAAGGCTACAGAGATTCGCGTGAAGAACGTTCAAGTCAGAGCCGGTTACGTGCTACACATTGGTACCGTGGGCGAGGGCACGTTAAGAAAGGGAGATAAAGTCCACGCGAATGTGGATACAGAACGTAGACGGCTTGTGATGGCTAATCACAGTGCCACGCACGCCCTGAATCATGCGCTCCGAAAGGTCTTGGGGACGGAGGCCGATCAAAAAGGATCGTTAGTCGCACCTGACAGGCTCCGCTTTGACTTTACAAACAAAGGTGCGTTCTCGAGTTAAAATCGAGCTGTGAGTCGCATGAATTAATTTGCTGTTAATTCTTCACGGTAGGTCCAATGACGGGAGGGCAATTGAAAGACACAGAATTGTTCACCAACGACATGATCCAGGCAAACAAGAAAATTTACGCTAAAGAAAGCAACTTGGCCATAGCGAAAACGATTCAGGGTTTGCGCGCAATGTTCGAAGAGACGTATCCTGATCCGGTACGTATCGTCAGTATGGGCGTGCCAATTGAGAATCTAGAAAAGAATCCCTTAAGCACGGCTGCTCTTGAAACCAGCGTGGAATTTTGCGGCGGGACGTAAGTGTTGTCTAAATAAACTCTGTACGCATTTTCTAATAACGCTGGCGTCTTTATGTTCACGATTTGTCCCACAGGCACTTACATTACACTAGCCACATAGGCGATTTTGTAATAGCCAGTGAGGACGCTATCGCTAAAGGTATCAGACGCATAGTAGCGCTTACTGGACCGGAAGCGACGAAAGCTTTAAGAACGATGAGGATCTTAGAAAATCAAATACATCAGATTCAAGTAACGATCGAAGCTGACAAGTCTGGAACGAACTCTAAGGAATATGTGAAAAAGATAGTGGAACTAACGGATGAGATATCCCATGCCCTCGTTCCTGTGTGGTGGAAGGTAATTACATTTAATAAAACATTAATTTCCGAGATAAATGGTTGCGAAAATAATTTGTCTTTTTGTGTACTAGGATAACGTGCGCAACACATTGAGAGAGTTAAAGAAGTCTCTCGACGACAAAGAACGAGCAACCAAGGCAGCTGTCATCAGCACGGTTGTAAAAACTGCTCAGACTATAATAGAGTCCAAGGTTGGATGTCAAGTGTTAGTTGAGGTGCTGGAGGCCTACAATAATACGAAAGCTCTAGATCTGGCGTTGAAGAAAATCAGAGCTATATCGCCAGAAACCAGTGCCTTGCTTATAAGCGTCGATCGCGACGTCAAGAAGATATTCGCTCTAGCTTCTGTTTCCAAAGTAAGAACGTTTAATTGAAAATAATCGCGAGTAAAAGTCAAAGTAATCACATTGAGAACGAACTTGTTCGCAGTCCGCGATATCCAAGGGGCTGAAGGCAAATGAATGGATCCAGGCAATTGCGTCTTTGATGCAAGGCAAAGGAGGTGGAAAGCCCGAATCTGCGCAAGCTTCGGGTACAAATGTAGCAGGCTTGAACGAAACAGTCAGCAAAGCCAATGAGTTTGCTAATCAAAAGCTGGGGATTATAGGTAAGTGCAGAGACTCTGTTGTTGGACACTGTAATTTTTATCGTAGAATTATTCCAGCCTAGTTGGCAAGTTTAGAATTGGAGTAGTTTCTCTGCCAGATATTAATTTAGTAGCTTTTTAAATTTAGATTAATTAACCACAGCTCTTAGCAATTATGTCTGTTTCCAGACAATAATACTGCTAATACTACACGTAAGACCTCCGAAACTATTCAATCACATAATACGGGATCTTCTTCAAAATTGGTACTTTATGGGAACAATGGAAGCACTAAGTGCTACTTAGCACAAATAATCGCGCAGTACAGCGGCAAATGTCTGACTGTTAAGCAAGTTGGAGACGAACATAAAATATGTTCTAGCGACATAATGTTAGAAACGGCAGATGTTACGTTACACAATATCAATGCCATTGCGTTCTTTTTGTCAAATTCGCAGCTCCGGCGTGAGGATGATTTGTTCGCGTCCAGCCAAGTTTTGCAATGGATGAGCTATGTGCAAAACCACATTTTACCAGCGGTTAGCGGCTGGGTACTTCCGTCACTTGGCGTTTCTGTATCGAAAGATATGAAAGCGAATGCAAAAATTTCCAAGGAGGATCTTCTTTGCACCATGAAAAGGATGGACGAGATACTACGTACGAGGACGTACTTGATAGGAGAAAGGATCACCCTGGCGGATGTATCAGTTTTTACCGCGTTACTACCTTTGTACGAACATGTGCTCGATCCGCATTACAGAAAGCAATGTACGAATTTAAACAGATGGTTCTCGACAATCCTGAATCAGCCGCAGGTAAAATGTGTAGTAAAGAATTTTACGTTTTGCGCCGAAGCTACGCGCTGTTGACGCGGATAAGGACTCCCGTTTTGTACACGTTTTTATCGGATTTATTATACGAAAGTTACATGGAAAGTTCAGTGTTTTCTTCCGTGTTAACTTTAAGCTTATCGTACAACATTCTAATCTCCTTTAATAAAGTGGAAAGATTGGTTCCTACCTTGGCAGAGATAGGAATTATTGGTAAATCTACGCGTTCTCTGAGCAACTGTAAGTTTATCTGAAATATAAATTACAACCATTATTATAGAAACTTTCAAGATTTTTAGTGCCTTGCTACCATTGTCATTGAAATGATTAACACATAAGTATACTATGGCGACAATTAAATGAGAGTTTTAACTGCTCACCTCAGAGTCTGGCAAATCGATTTTGTTCGCTACAATAATATGAGGCCTGTCGTTCAGTCTTTCATTAAACTGGCTAATCTCGTACTTTAAAGTTTCCAGAACTTCCCACGGCTCATTCTGCGTCACGTCTAAAATAAATATTAAAGCGGCGCAACGTTCCACGTGTTTAAGGAAAGTTACGCCAAGCCCTCTATTCTTATGCGAATCTTCTATGAGGCCGGGCATGTCGGCCACTAAAACAAAGTAGATTACAAAGATGAGATACGCAGAAAAGCCCATGACAACTCCATGTTACTGCGTGCATATAATTACCTGCGATTTGTTCATAATCATCGTACTGTACTATGCCTATATTGGGCTTTAAAGTGGTAAAAGGATATGCCGCTACTTTTGGCCTGGCCCTGGATATCGCTCTTAAAAGTGTACTTTTACCAGCATTGGGCAGACCAATCTGGCAGTTTGATGAACATGGAACAAACATAGGTTTTGTTTTACATAGTAAAAATGATTCGTAAAGTATCTGCGCGAGTAAACATTCTCGACAGTTCGAAACGGCCTCTCTCTTTCAAATGCTGATAATAAAATTGCAGCGACAGTCTGAGGGATACTCACCAATCCAATGTGGGCCATGCTTCGTACTTCCAGCACATACTCCAAGTTTTCCCCGGTCGCGCCGTATTCGCATATCTCAGGCGTCTGCTGAGCGTTCGACTTGAAAAAGGCATTTCCGTGACCGCCGGCACCACCTCTCGCGGCGATGAACATCATTCCGTCCTTGTCCAGGTCGGCTAATATCCTACCGTTTACATCGCGCACGATCGTGCCAACGGGCACTTTCACTATTTTGTGCTCTGCATTTTTACCGAAGCAATCCTTGCCGTAGCCTTTTTCTCCGTGTTCGGCACTGATCACGGTATCTACGCTGTGCAGGTCCTTCATATCCGTTTTCGCCTGCACGATAAAACTGTGCGTCTATACTTTGTACAAATCGGCCAATATACTAAGTTTATCATAGACGACAATTCACGCGATTGCCTTACCTCGAATATTACGTGACCACCGTGTCCGCCGTCGCCGCCGTCAGGGCCAGCTCGATCATTGACCCACAATCGTAAGAACGATATCAGCCCATCGCCGCCGTTTCCCCCGATCGTTCTCACCTAACGAAAAACGATCGCACGTTCACGGACATGATGGTGTCCCCCGAGAAACAAGACTCTTACCGGTTTTATGTCGACGAAGTGCTGCATAACCGAGCTCTTCGATTTCGGTTTTGTGCTACGTAAAGGTATAGCTGTAGAATCCTTCGCGCAAACCCACGCAGTAGCAGACAACGCTCTGTGCCCGATCGAAACTTCGCGCCTGGTCCTGTTCAGTGAGGTTTCGCAGCCTTGCCTTTGAATTATACCCATGATACTTCTCAAGTGACGAACGCGATGCATCTGAAAGCAGTTGTCGAAGATGTAGATCTCATACCGTACGCAATATCAATAATGAGATAGAGGAAAGTCCCCTACTATGAGATAGGATCTTCATATGGGATAGCGGGGTGTCTGTTAAATTAATGGACATCATCAGTTGATTCTACCATGAATTTATTGCCCTTGGAGCGAAGTCTGTTTACTGGAAAATTAATTGTTAGATTGCGTAATCGTTGCGAAAAAAGATTTGCGATTGAATTTGGGTGTTGAAAACCTGCTATCTCATAGTAGAGAACTCTCCACCTCTATACATATGTACCATTTTAATAAAGCCTAGGCTCGTTTCTCGACACGTAAAACGACTCGCGCTATTCGACCTATCTCGAGACGCTGACATTAAATTGATCTTCTACAAAATTCGCGATTACATTTTGATGTAATTCAATAACTCGCCCCCTGTACAACGGCACATAATTCGACTTGTAATCTATCCTGTACGTTCTCTTTATCCTCCCATCAACAGGCGACAGGTAACAGTCGATCAAATCTACGTTTTCGATAATAGACGCCGCATAATTGTACAGCGATCGATAGAATTCAGCCGTGCTGAAATCTCCGTCGGTGGACAAAGTTAGGTCGAACGTAAAAGTACACGGATAAATGCACTTGAGCCGACGATCCGATTTATCTCGGATGTGGTGCGTCGTATCCTTCCACGTAACATTATCCGCAGCGCATTCAGAGGCGTCTATCTTATTCCTAGGTGCGATATTGTGCGCCACGGGTGGCTCGGTCCTGGCGAAACAATACGTCCACGAGCCCGCCGTGTGGAATCGCTTATCTAAACCGCGGTAGCCGGTCACGACATAGTCCGGCAAAGACCGCCACAAAAAGGGCTCCACTCTCGTCAATACAAAGTTGCCGTGCGCAGCCATTTCCACGATCTTCCAGGAGTCGTCCCAGCGTCTCCTGGGCTCGTCCACAGGCGTTCCACCCTGGCCGTTGCACAGCGTAACCAGCACCCGGCCGTCTTCCTTTATCATCCTCGCGGACGACGCGAAGAAGCCCCTCAACAAGCCCCTGTTTCTCTCTATTCTCATTTTACCGCCGACGTGGGGAAAGTTAAAGATTATCTTGTCGAACTGTCGCGACTTCAGCGAGGGACATTCCTCCAGTTTCGTGGCGTCCACGTCAAACAGCACGCGGATACCTGAAAAGAAAAGCATCAGGTTTTCTCTCGTCGCAATCGATTTCGCGCAATTACCGGCGTTGTAGACGATACATGTACAGGCTCTCTACTGCAATTCACTGACCGTTCGCCCGAAGGTAATCTACGTTTCTTTCTGCGGCCCCTTGGCACGCAGACTCGTAGCAGGTGGCAACGAGCTCTACGTTGAAATTTTGTCGCGACAACGCTGCGGCGAACGAGAAGTTGCCCTCGCCTACCAGCAGCACCGAGTCGCGCTCGTTAAAAATCGACATCTTCACCTTCGTCTGAAAGTAATCGGGCCGTGTGCCAGACAAATGCTTTTCTTTCCAGGTTCGCGCCGGCCAAAGTTCGCCGTGGATAGGTTAGGTGTCGGACAGAGCAGGTTAAGAATATAGGTTAGACGGCCGCGTGATTTTTCGCAACTTCGCGCAATTAAAATTCGCCGAGTTCCTGACTAACCTTGTATAATATTACTCTCTCGTATCGAAACACATAACCAGCCTTGCCGCAAGTGTACGTGCTTCCGCGCAGTACTCGTTCGTAAAAGAGCAAAATGTCAACATGAGTCGAGCCGCGAGCGCAGAGACAGTCGCGCGTGAACAGTCGCTCGACAGTCAGGTCCAGGCGACGACTGTCTGGAAAGACGTCTGTTGACGTGGCGTTTTAAGCTCGACGATGCACGCGTGAATTTACAAACAACAACACCCGATATTCCATGTGAATGATCGTCGAGGTGAGGAACGATCTTTCGACTGTTCGCGACGCGACGTCTATTAATTTAGCAGACATTCCGCTACCTCATATTAGGAGCCTATCTCGCAATATGGGACTTTCCTCTAATCAAGTTGAATATGTGTTCTAGGTATGTAATAGATTCCTAACGGAGAAACTCTTGGCCGACGGGTGAGAAGAGAGCGAGAGGGCCAATGACTTTGTAAACGACCACGTGTGGAGCGAAATATACTTGCTGGATGAAAGACTGACCAAGTTTCAAGAGGCGGCTGCAGAAATATACGTGAAAATGTTTGCCCGCGGTAGGATACTCGTGCTTAGCTGCACGAATGTCGTGAAAAGATACCACGCGTGGCCACTGATAAGTACAGCAAACGTAAGTTCTAAGCAGAGTAATTCCTGTGACCGTTTTGGTGCGTAATCCAACAGCGAATTCGGCAGATTGCACTGGCGCGCACTGAGGCTTGTTTACAGTCAATTCCTATACTCGAGGATCGTCTTGAATACTTGTTGAAATACTTCTTAGCCGGTAAAATGATCCGTGGAGCATTCGTATGGATCACTTTTTTCGGCTGAATAGTTTTTGGACATGCAGTTGAGATGACCACGAGTAGACTCTGGACCTCAGGCCTTGGTATGCACTCAGTGTACAAGCTGGCGAATTTGCTATAAATACAATGATTTTCCGTATTCGAATGGAGTGTAAACGAATTTTGTTTCAGTTACCGCTGAAAGCTCAACCTGCGATTTCCGTAGCTTGCGTCCACAACTTAGTCGTCGACAGGCCAGCGCCGTTGACGAAGGAGCCGGTCTCGCCGGCCAACAGATACGTCCAGAGAACGCACACGTGTGGCGAGCTGACGTTGAAGAACGTTGGAGAGGAAGTGAAATTAAGCGGCTGGATGGAGTTCCAGAGAATGAGGAAGTTTATAACATTACGGGACTCCTACGGGTCAACGCAGTTGCTTATACCGGAAGATGTATGCGGCGAATCACATTCTATAAGTCGTTGTGCGGGACATTGAGAAATTTTTAACAATTTTCAGAGAAAGGATCTGACAGCGGCTGTACAGAACTTGTCTTTCGAGAGTGTCTTGAGCGTGGTGGGCAAAGTCGTGCCGAGACCCGAAGATCAGCAGAATAAGAGAATGAAAACGGGCGATGTAGAAGTGTACGTGGACGCGCTGGAGATTCTAAACGTGGCGTCGCAGAACCCGCCGATATTCATTAGAGAGTATAACAAGGCCAAGGAGAGCCAGCAGATGAAATATCGATATCTGTCGTTGAGATATCCCGAGTTGCAAAGGAATCTGAGACTGCGCTCCACCCTCATAATGAAGATGAGAGAATTCCTGATCAACGAATGCAGTTTCGTGGACATTGAAACGCCAACGCTATTTAAAAACACGCCCGGGGTATGCTTCTCAATATTCTCCACCACAAATTCATACTGCAAGCGTGCAAGGTTGATTTTATCGTGTGCAGGGTGCGCAAGAATTTATAGTGCCGACGAGACAACCGGGTAACTTTTACTCGCTAGTACAGAGCCCTCAGCAATTCAAGCAGCTTCTCATGGTAGGCGGCTTCGACAGATACTTCCAAGTCGCCCGATGTTACAGAGACGAGAGCGCTAGGCACGACAGACAGCCAGAATTTACACAGGTAATTACAATTGCGTTCATACATAAGTAATACATTTTATTATCGGCTACATCGTCAGTGTTATATCAGTTATGTTACAGCTAGATGTCGAGATGTCGTTTGTTGACCGGGACGGAGTGATGAGCTTAATTGAAAATTTATTGATGTACTCGTGGCCAGAAGGAGCGGGCTCTATACAAGTGCCTTTTAAGCTTATGACATACGAAGACGTGATGAAGCTGTATGGTAGTGAACAACCGGACTTAAGAATACCGTATCAGGTAAGAGAATCAACGTGCGATTTCTTATTTGTTTTACTTCACCAAGTGAACGCAGTACCGTTTCAATTCAAATCTGCTTTCCAGATACAAGACCTCACACACATGTTCGATCTGCCAGTATTAAAAGAGGCCGTGACGTCCGAGGATAACAAACAAGAAGTGTACGCGTTAGTCTTCTCAAAGAAGTCGGTAGGTATTTATTTTTATGTGTTTGCCTATTCCGTTGTTAAGGTAATTTTTTTTATTGTAGAAGTACTTAACGAAATCGGTCAAAGAAGGACTCTCTAAGATCCGTGGCGATTATTTTGGTACCACAAAGCTAGTTCAATTGAAAGTCGAAAGCAATTCGTGGAGGGCAGGGTTAGACAAGCTGAAACTGAAATCGGGAGTTACAGTAGAAGATATATCGCAGTGCTGCAAGTTACAGGAGGGAGATGCGGTATTGCTAGCAATTGGACATCGAATGGATACAGTGAGTATAAAAGTCTAAATTCTGTTTTTTCTCCTTTAATGATAATAAACTTTTCTCTTCACCAGTAACTATAATAGCTACTATATACAGGGTGGGCCATTTTAATTTATACAGTCGATTTTTTAAAAAACTAAAAGAGA